GTTGACGAACTCCGACTTGGCGACTGCCAGCATGTCAGGGTTGAGCTGCCGGGCCCTAGCGTAGACTGGGGGGCCTTCAGTGTCAATGTGGTGCTCTACCCCGTGTTTGGTAGTGGCAGCGGAAAAGGTCGGGAAACTCACTGAGAAGGTGCTGAAACTTGTCGCCCTGTGAGAGTGAGCTGGAGAACACGCTGAATGACGCCTCGCCGCGGGTACATGTGAACGAGGCAAACGTCAGTGCGTCCACCAGGCGGCTGTTCTTGACGTCCACCTGCAGTCCATGAGCGCACAGGAAGTCTGCGTCGAGGAGGGCGAGGAGAGGTCAGCCGTGACGAAATCCCACTTAAACCGCTGACCCTCGAAGCACAGGTCCACTGTATCCGTGCCATAGGTGCGAATAGGGGTGTCGTTAGCGGGTGTTAAAGGTGGGCCATGGCCCCCACCGGCGGCGTCCTCCACCGTAGCCGGCAGGACGCTCCGCTGGGCTCCTGTGTCACAAAGGAGTCTGCGACCAGAGAGGGTGTCTCTGATGAACAGGAGCCGGTTGGATGTGCCCACGCTCGCGGCCACTACCGAGCGCAGGCCTTGGCATTTCCCGTTACCTTGTAGGTGCAGGGGGGACGGCACATCTTCGCTTTCGCCCCTGGAGCGTGCATTGTAATAACACAGGCCAGGGCTGGAGTTGCTGACGTCAGCCTCTGCTAGGTGGCATGCCTGCTCCAGGGAAGGTGCCGCTGCGTGTCGGGGCCAGCACCTCAGGGTTAAAATGCTGGGTGGCCAGGAAGAAAAGCGTGGGGCTCAGTAATAGCCGTGTTAGCGAGCGCTGTCTGAATATGCGGCGGCATGTGCTGAAGAAACAGTTCTATGAACAAAAAATTTGGTTCTTCCGTACCCTGCTGGGTACGGAAGAACCAAATTTTTTGTTCATAGAACTGTTTCTTCAGCACATGCCGCCGCATATTCAGACAGCGCTCGCTAACACGGCTATTACTGAGCCCNCGTTCCCGTGGTCGTCGTCCGGTCGCGTCTCGTCGAGGTCGTACTGTCGTTCCGTTCCGTTTGTGTGCGCACGTCGCGCGCGCGCCACTCGTTGGTGGTGCTTGTTGGTTAGGTACTTAAACTTAAATAAGTACCGCCCGTAAACCCAAAACGTAAAACCTACCCACTACCACCGTACGTTGGTTGTAGGAAGAGTATAGTACTACAATTACGTTACTTTACCTTAAGTTGTTCGTCCTACTAACGTAACCACCAACTAGTATTAGAGTTACTTTACTTTAA